ACATTTTCCATTTATTATTTCTGAGATCTATCACAATCCAGCAAAACAATAAAAAAAGTCACTGAAAACCCAATTATTTTACTAAAAGTGACAAAAAAACAAATAATACAATTTTGTGTAGGCCTATTTTGAGTCTCTACAAATGTAAAAAACAGTCTCTCCTGATGATGCATATGTTTATATTCTTTTTGAGGACATGTTTTAACTCATTCAGATTTCTATGACGTTTTCTGAACTACTATATCAAAGAATTTGTGACAGAACGGACATACAAGTTCTGGACCTACCAACTACAATTTTGTGGTCTACATTCTTCTCTGGTTCTGGGTCAAACTCTGGTTCTGGGTCAGACTCTGGGTAAGATCCAACATGCAAGGCTGGATGGACAAGTCTTCTCTTGTTGACATCTTTTATTTAAATTAAAAATAAAATATTTCAGCACCCTCCATCAATGAACCAGTCTGGAAGCTGGAGGGGGGCGGGGTGTGAGGAATTTTGTTTGGATTTAAAGAGACAGCCTCAAAATGAGTTGATCTGAGACACGAAGGAAAGTGAAGGATATGGGTCTGGTTTTTACCAAGCTACTATAGAGTTACAATAAGAAGGAATTGCTGATCCACTTTATAAAAGACCCCAACTGAAAGATTTAAATATGAAAATAGATTTAAGATTTATATGTCTCTTAAAATTTTACCTTTGGGGCCAGATTTGGTCTTCAGATTGTCATAGACATCTAACCACAGTCAGAAAAACTATTTTAAATTTATCCAACAAAAAAAAAATCCTAAAAATACAGAATATCCTTTATCTTACGAATGATAATATTCTGCATCTTCTGTCTGAATGTACTGTATTTCATTTTTTCAGATTAACTGTATTTTTTGTACTTGAGTTGGTTCGAGGTTTAAAAATTTATGAAAAATTTATATTTCTATGAAAGAAAAAACTATGGCTAAATGCATTTCCCCCCAACTTCTTAAATGTTGCAGATGTCCCAATTTTACCACCATGGGAAAAAACAGAATCCTATGACTCAGCATTTTATATTAATGACTCAGCATCACATAATTATGATTAAGAGAATTTTTTAGTAGCAGAAATGTCACAATACTTCTATAATTTTATTAGTTATTTTTATGGTTCCTTTGTCCTCTCATTTACTGCTTCAGATTAACTCATTTACATTATTTCCTTCTTCAATTAATTTTTGAATTTTGTTCAAACTGGGTTCTTGTTTTGGATCAACTGGAAGTGGTGTCCCCAGTGCTGGCTCTAGCCATTTTGGTGCCCTAGGCTAGTTGAAGTGCAACACCCCCCCTCCCCCCAACACTCAAAACTATGTCCCAACCACCCCAACTTGAACCCCTAAAAAAGTTTGACAGTGTAAGGTACTATGGTAAACTTAGATTTATTAACTTTCCCAGAAAGCAAATAAATAACATACATGTCAACTTGTACGGATTGTGCGTAAGTTATAAAGATTTTACGTCATTTTGCAGATACAGTATGCGGACGTATAGAGCAATCTCACTGATTTTTCTCAAAACCTCCTTTTCAAATTTATCTGTATCTGTAGGATGATTTAAAAAGCAAAAAATAACATCAAACAGCCATCTTCCAACCTGTTCTGCCGCTAGAAATAGTTTTGAATTTTTTCCGCTCTTCTTTCCTCCTGCGTCGCAGCGGGCGCTTTCACATCCTCAGCGAGGCTGACCCCGCCCCCGCGTGTGCGAGTTGTGTGGATTTTTTGCAAAATTTACRTATTTTCRAGGCTTTTTATCCAGGTAAACGTCTGAAGAGTTTGACATGTTTGGGACAACAAAATACAGACTTGTTGTTATTGAGTTTGTCAACACRAACCACTACCTGAGAGGCACTACTAGCCCCTCCCCCATCAGAGTGTCAGAGCAGGACGAGTCAGTGCAACGTCAATCAAATGAGAGAGGGTGGGGGTGATTGCTGCAATGGGGGGATGTTTTATGGGTAGAGTAGTTTATTTTTCCTGTAATACTTCATTATAGTTTTTAAGACAARGCTAAGTGAAAGGGGTGCTGAGCAGAGTTACAACCAGGGATTACAAATAATTACTTTTTTTTTCTTCTGCAGTTCAGCGCCCCCTCCAGCAGATGGCACTCTAGGCGACCGCCTAGTTCGCCTATGCCAAGAGCCGGCTCTGGGTGTCCCACCAGCTGCTTGATAATCAAACCACAAACAAAGCTTCAAAATATCTGCTTTTATTTCTTCCTTAACAAAACAGGTTCACAAAMGAAAAAAATAAACACACCAACCAATATAATGATATATAAAAATGTATTAAGAATAATTTCAAAAGCCGTTACACGTATGTTCTTTGGCTGAAGAAGCCTGTTGGAAGCCAGTGATAACATTTGGGCTGAAACACTGAACATAAAGAAAAGCTTTAAATGCACTCACTACATTCCTACAACGACGACGCTTCAACAAAAACATCTCTTTATCTGAACAAAACCAGAAACTTCTCCAAAAAAGAGAGGACCGTCCGAAGTGAGCGGTAACRTCTGGCAGTGACAAACAGAATCCAAGCATTTCCAGTGGTTTGTCACGCGGTTTAAAACGAGCTGGAAAACTGAAGTTATTATGATTAAAACAAGCTTATATATCTTTATGTCATAAAAAATGATCGAATATAAAAATAACACTGTTTAAGAACATTAACTGAACAACAAACCTTCAGCTGATTGGTGAGAAAAYGCTGTAAAGTTCTGAACATGATGAGCAGAAATCTGCTTTTGTTTTACCCAAAACTACTTTCAACTAAAAAGCTTCACAACTCGTCATCCAGCTGGGTCAGAACCATGAGTTTAAAACCAAATCTGATCATTTTAACTGATTTTTATCTGTTTCCAATCAAAATATCTGARCATTTTAATTGGAAATAATTTGCCTGTCTAACTTAAATAAACTCTTTTTGGCAAAACATGATTGAAACACAATTTTTTTTTAAACAAACAGAAAAACTGCACCAAAGAAACCAGAAACAAACAGAAAATAAACCGACAYGATTAAACAGAGGAGGGGGTAATATAAAACATTAAATGTGGTATAGTTTCTATATTAAACAGCAGCACATCATGTTTGTTCTGAGTTCCTCATCATCTCAGAAACGAGCAAACAGCCGACAGAGCTGGAAAACAACACGTACAAACAAAAACTCACTGAAACATAAAGGTATTAAATGATGACCAAGACAAACAGATTTTTTATTTTTAGTTTGCCTTCGGTCTCCTATTCTTTGAGAACTGACCAACAAAAAACAGGCTTGAAATTAAAACCAGAAGTTTTAAACCTAAACAGGACTGAGCCAGTAGTTTTTACAGAAAGACCAACAGAACACTGCAAAATCTGTCCACCTAACCAAGTTTTAAAATCTTACATCAGCCAAAATGTCTTTTTGATTTTGTTTTGTGACTGATTTACTAAACAGGAACTGATTGTGTAAGAATAATCATCTTGTTTTCAGATTCAGATTCTTGAAATACTTGATTTGACTCAATTTTTTTCTTATTTCAAGAATCTG